ACCATCTTTCAGATGGCGAACTCCGGATTTTGACCCTTTGCCCTTAATATTTTGAATCATGTTCCACACCTTGGACATGGGTGTGCGGGAGTTGTTTTTAGACACATATTTCTTCCATGACCGGCGTTTAGTTTGTTTGAAGGTATTTCTTGACCTGGCATTTGTCATTTTAACAGCATTCAGGTTATGCACTGTGGGGTGTTGTCGGAAATATTTCTCCCCTTCTTCCTATTTTTCCTAGCTTGTTTGCAATTTGTATTAAACCATGGTTTGCGTATTTGCGGGTTTGCAGAGGACTTTGGAATAGTTTTGTCTCCAATGGCATTTAGGACGTCTGAAAATAGTTCCATGGGATCAGGAACATTTCTGAAGTTGTCCGGCTTAAGTTTTTCAGAACATAGGGTTTGGAATAAAGGCCAATTGGCCTTAGTAAAATTCCATCTTGTTGATGGTGGTTCATCCGTGGGGTTGACAGGAGCAAGAATTGTGGGGAAGTGGACGCTTCCACAAAGGTCGTCGTGAGAGATAAGGTTGATGACATCGATTTCTTGAAATACCTGCGCAGTTTTAACATAATATGTTTATTTGAAACATTTGTGGAAAGCATGAATTATAATTGGCTTGAAGGTTATGATATATTTTATAGCCCTGCAATCAAGCTATCAGACTATGGCAGACATTCCGGTGGTGTTTGTATATGTATCCACCATGGTCTTAGAAACTTATGCGAACAAATAACAACTGATCTCGATAACTTTCTATGTCTAAAACTTGCTAAGGAATTGTTTTTCTCTAGATAAAGACGTCAACCTGATATGTACTTACATCCCTCCAACAGGATCAACTTACTATAAACATAAGACTTATAACTGTTGTATTGAACAACTAGAACAATATCTTTTAGATAACCTTCAAGGCATGACTGAGTGTCATACTCTTATTTGTGGCGACTTCAACGCACGTACAGGTAAAGAAAATAACTTGACTTTGTCTAATGATGATGATGTGAATAATGTATTTCATGATGTTGATGATGACGACTACCCCTATTGAAGATCGTAATTCCCATGATAATGTTATTAACGGTTTTGGTAGATTGTTGTTAGACTTATGTTATGCCTTCAAACTGTTCATAGTGAATGGTAGAGTACACGGAGACGAACAAGGCGAATATACATACAATGGCCAGCAGGGTTCCAGTGTCAACGATTATTTTGTTTGCTCACCTGACTTTTTCCCATTTATACATATGTTAAATGTTGGTGAAAGGGTGGAATCTGATCATTTACCGTTGGAATTGACTTGCCAATTAGCAGATATGATAAATATGAGTGACGGTTGTACAGATGTCTATTCTAAAGAAAGATATATCTGGAACGAGTATTTTAGTCAAACATATTTAGATAATTTGCAGAGTAATATTACTTCTTGTTACGAACATCTCCTGTCAAAACTTGATTGTGATCTGAACGGTGCTTTAGATGATTTTGTCCACGTTATACTAGAATCAGCAGAATGTATGAAGAAAACATTTAAGTCAAACAAACAGAGCAGTAAGCCAACAGTAGATAAAGACTGCAGGACTGCTAGACGAGATGCTCGCAAAGCACTGAGAAGTTTTCGGTTTAGACGCACTGAGAGTAACAGACAATATTTTTGCAAAATGAGAAATAGATACAAAACTTCATGTAGAATATATAAAGGTAGGTTGCGTAATCAAAACCTAAGAAGACTTCATGAGTGTGTACATAATCCCGCTAAATTTTGGAAACAAATCCGTTCCTTTAGAAATCGAACTAATCCTAAAATAAATATTTCCAAACCTGAGTGGTTGATTCATTTTAAGAGAGTGTTCTCAAATGATTCTATTCTTCAGAACGATAACATTGTTTTTGATGATGATGTTCGTGATCTCAATCTTGATATGGAATATGAAAGTATCGATAAATTGATTTTAGAAACACAAACTTCTGATGATGAAATTAAAAATGCGATTACTCATTTAAAGAGTGGTAAGGCAGCTGGACCTGACAACGTTGTGATTGAAATGATAAAATGTTCTCAGGTCGAGTTAATGCCCTTCCTACGGAAATGTTTCAATTCTATATTTGACAAAGGTGTATTTCCAGATAACTGGTCTCGTTCAATTATTGTTCCATATTAAATAACAGAATTTCAAATTGGTCAAATATGAGAAACCTGATTCCCGAATGCCAAGCCGGTTTTAGGAAAGAATATTCAACTGCAGATCATATTTTCACATTATATGCCATAATCCAAAAATGTCTTTCACGAAGTAAGCACAAATTATATGTTGCTTTTGTTGATTTCAAGAAAGCTTTTGACTCTGTAGATCGTTCCAAATTGTGGTATTGTTTTAAAAATCTGGTTTACAAGGAAAAATGTATAATATTCTAAAGTCAATGTATTCTAACATGAAATCGTGTGTACGTTGTGGTAATGATGTAACCGACTTCTTTGATTGTCCCATAGGGTTACGACAGGGCTGTATCTTAAGTCCAATGTTGTTTTCTTTCTTTATAAGTGAACTGTATTACGATATTTCAATCTCTGGTAAACACGGCGTTCAAATGTTTCCTGATATGCTTGAAATTTTCATCCTACTTTTTGCTGATGATGTGATCTTGGTGTCCGATACTATTATTGGCTTACAAAATCAACTCAATATCTTAGAACGTTACACAAACGACTGGAAACTCTTTGTTAATTTCGAGAAAACAAATATTGTAATCTTCAGAAGAGGCGGTCCCGTCGCTTCAAAGAGAAATGGTTTTTCAATGGCAAGTTACTGACTATCGCTAATCACTATACCTACCTTGGTCTTATGTTTTCTCACACGATGAATTTTAAAAAGTGTTCTTTATTTGCAATCACGTGCAAAGAAGGCTTTCATAAATGTTATGTCTGTTTCTCAGAATATAGGTGCCTTCACTCCAAACATATTTTTCAAACAATTTGATTCACAAATTCAACCGATTATGCTTTATGGGTCAGAAGTTTGGGGGTTTCAGCGTCAAGAATGTCTTGAGAAACTTCATCTCTTAGCTTGTAAAAGATTTCTAAATGTTGGACAAGCAACGCCAAATTGTATGGTTTATGGGGAATGTGGGAGATTTCCAGTTTATATAAATTCACAAATCAGATGTTTGAAGTATTGGCTTAAGATTCTGGAAATGCATGAACAACGAATATCTAAAATAGCTTATAATATGCTTGTTCATCTTGATAGCATGGGCAAGACAACTTGGGCTTCACATATTAGAAATCTTTTATTTTCCCATGGCTTTGGATTTGCATGGTTAAATCAGACAGTGGGTAATGTAACTCTGTTTCTTAAACGTTTCCGAGAACAGTCAATTAATATGTTCTATCAAGAATGGCATTCGACTCTCGAAAATAGTTCAAGGTATGATCTATATAGGTCCTTTAAGAGCCTTATCCAACCAGAAATATATTTATCTGTATTGACATCAAGAAATATCAGACGCACATTTGTTCAGCTCCGACTAGGTTTATTAGATTTAAGTATTAATAAAGGTAGAAGATTGTCTATAGACAGAAATATGAGAATTTGTCCATTATGCACTTCATCTATTGAAGATGAAATTCATTTTATATTTGTAGGTCCATATTATGATGATCTTAGAAGAAAATATATTTCAAGTAATTATCTATCAAAATATCCAACAATAGCCTTTGTCTCAATACTCACTTCCAGAAATGAAACTGTTATCCGCAACCTTTCTCTATTTGTAAAACATGCTGTTGTCTTGACAAATGATAGGTTATCTAAGCAATAACCATTATAATTGCCATTGTATTATGTACTGTAATTATGTATATGTATGTAACTCCTTGTATATGGGCCGGAGGCCTTGAATACAATAAACTTGACTTGACTTGACTTGGACCGACCATTCAATCTCATTTAAAAGATTAGAATCTGTAAGTGATAGATCGAGAGAAGAGTATGTTCCAGTGGCAGGATGGAGGTAGGTGTTTGATCCATCGTTGAAGATGCATACATCATTATTTGAGATAAAATCTTCAAGGACCTTTCCCTTATTAATTGTATCAGTACTCCCCATTAGGGGGTTATGGCCGTTCAAGTCGCCCATGATAATGCAGGGCTTTGGGAGTTGATCATACAAATTCTGAATATCTGATACGCGGACAGTTGAGGAGGGAGAAGATAGAGTGAACATAGTGTAAACCCTATGTTCAGAGTCATGCGGACAGCAACAGTTTGTAGGGTGGTGTTAGGTGGAACAGGGCTATGGAGGATGCCGTGCCTCACCAGGATAGAAGTACCTCCTGTAGCTTTAACTCCAAGAGGAGAAAAGGAGTGGTAGGAACTGTACCAAAACTGTCCTTTTTAGGTAGGTTTCTTGGAGACAAAACGTAGACGGTTTAAAATCTTGAATCAATAACTGTAGTTCATTAAAATTATTCTTAAGTCCTCTGCAATTCCATTGAATCTCCATATCATGAGGTCCAAAGGAGTTGTGGACATCGAGGGGGACCTCTAAAGGACAGGTGGTCTGGCACGAGATACTTGCAGTAGTGGTATAGGGACGGGAGACAGCAGCAAAGTAAGAGATGGTTGAAGAGGATACAGTTAAACTCGTAACCCTCTTCTTATCTTCATGAAATGAGATATTTTCTTTGTGTTTGATCCTTATGGTCTCTCATTCACCTTGCCACACGGGACAAGATTTGAAAGAGGCCATAAGGTTACCACCGCAGTTTGAACACTTCACTTCAATAGTACAATCATTGCTCTCATGCTTGTCACCACAGCGGTACCAAACAGTAGAAGAACGACAGGACTTGGATCCATGTCCAAACTTTTGGCAGTTGTAGCACCGGAGTGGGTTAGGTACATAGACCTCCACACCAATGTTGCAATAACTGGTTCTAATTGATTTGGGAATCTTCGATCGGGCGAACGTAAAGAGGTAGGTGTTTGTCGGGTGTACCACACCTTCCTTCTTGTTAGTGAATCTCTTCACGGCTGTGACAGACTGCTGGGAGAGTTCCTGGACAATTTGTTCCTCAGTCATGTCAGACTGGCATCGAGCTCTGTCCCTACAATGCCTCTACACGTGTTCAGTGTTTTGTGTGCTGGGACAACAACCTTTACATTGACAAACTCTTGTAATTTCAGTAGATTCAGGGATTGCTGTCTCCGAGCACATTCAACTAATAGAGAGCCGGACCTGAGCTTTGTGACGTTGGCAACCTCTTCGCAGATACCAGCGATACCCTTGGAGATTGCAAATGGGTTCAATTGCAAAGGTTGCTTGTCACAAGCTTCAATGATTATAAATCGTGGCCAGTAATAGGTCAAATGGGCGTACTCTCGTCAGACGAGGAATTGTCAGAATCCATATGTCTTCGTTTTGAACCGGGGTGTTGGGAAGCCATGTCGTAAGGAATGTAGTTCAGCACCCCCTCTCTCCACCCACCATGGAGTGTCAACAGGGAGGATCTTATACTGCAGCGGATCTCCAAGTTGAAATACCGAGGATAAGGGGGTGTTATACTCCAGCGAATTTGACATGAAATGCTGGACCTGTCTACCAGGATGGTTCGGTCTATGACAATCAATTGGAGACGTACAGAAATCAGAGGGCAGCATCACCAGATTGGCCCATGAGCCACCGCCTTCTGTGCATGGGTCTGCGCGGCTGATTGGTTTTGGCAGTATATCCGTTATCATTTTGAACATGCCAAAAGTGTTATGTAGTACCAAAGTTTGTATAAACATCCCATGCACAGGGCAAGGCGTGACCAGCCGATTGGTAGAATCGGGTCTATTCTACCACCCGTCTAGGCAAAGTTAGGGTCGAAGTGGTGTGTTGGCTTAAGGAACACTATTGCCGGTTCCGTCATCCTCAACCACCAGACTCCCTTCCTCTGCCGTCACAGGGACACAACCCACGGCTAACGGGTCGCCCAATTTGGTCGCCTCTTACGACCAGCAATGGGGTGCTGTGGACCCATTTGGCCCCGGGTCCACACGAGGGCGAAGAGTCATTAGCGTTACCCAGAACCCACCACGAGGAGGTTGCCCTTCAGGGGTGCCGTTGGGATTACCATCCATGGCAGACACGATAAGAAATCTTCACCAATTCTCAGGATTCATGTGAGGTGTTGAAGGATCTTCATCCTCAGAAGAGGATGAATCTTCAAATTCATGCGGACGCTGTTTGTAAGGGGGCGCCATAATTGTAATAGGTATGTTTCATCAACCCATCCACCCACCATGAAGTGTCAACCAAGACGATGCCCTACATCTGTGGATCTCAGACAGATGGCACAGGTTACCAGGAGGGTAGACACATATCTTGAAAAAATGGATCCCAACAGATTGGTCCATGAGCCATCGTCTCCTGGGCATTAAGACTATAGACAAAGTAACTAATTTAGTTTGAACAATTTGCAATATTGTACTTTTGAAAACAATTGATGCAAAGACAGTAAATCAAGTATTCAAAAATATAAACTAACGGGAAGAGCACTTTGCACGTATCGCGCGTGACAAGTGCAGCTTTGATAGATGTCGGTATTTTTGAGAGGACAAAGGTAAACAGATAGGTGTTAGTATTCACTATTCTATCATTATCTTTTCTGGTGAAACGTTTAACGGATGTCACCTCTTGAGATTTGAGTTCTTTTGCAATCTCCTCTTCTGACGTGTCAGACAAACATTTCGAATGAACTCGAACAATGCCTCGACACGAATTTACTGATTTGTGCGCTGATACAACAATCTCAGTATCGTTTGACCCCTGTCCCGCTTGTGGACTCGTGACGTCATTGTGATTGACTTTTCAGTTGAAATTCCCCCGACTTGTTATGGTCTCATGATCCCTCCATTACAGTTTATATGTACCTTTGACATTGTTATCGTACTTATCAACTGGGATAATATTTTGACAATGCACAGTTTATTTATGTGCCTAGTATATATGTGCAAAGCTTTTTTTCCTGCATTTTCCCAAGTGATGCCACTTAGAGGTCAGCCAGTAATCAATATCACAGTAGATCATCAACCTCTCACTCAATCCAAACAGCCTTTAGCTCCGCAGTCGTTAAACATCATTTTTAGATCATTGAAGAATTTAAGGTTTTCCAACCCATCTGAACAGAATACAACCCCATATCCCTACTTTTTGTTCACTATTTATGAGTGCATTATTACTTACACAAAGAATACCATAAAGGCTTTACCTCTTACTGTTCTACTTCTTGTACTTTACGTATTCAATTCCATATATCAATTCTCTTTACTGGCCATTGTCTTGTGTACTGTACTGGGAGTGTATACGTATTTATGTCCATACACATGACACCACAAAACGTCACAGGTTCAACTAGAAATGCACATAACTTTGTATGCCCCAGAAAAAAAACGTATTACTGTTAAATTCTGATAGGACTCTACTGGCAGGGTCGCGCTGACCCGTGCGAGAGGTCGTTTGTGAAGGACAAGTTTGCGTGCTGAGTCGTCACGTTTTAAGATTCTCGGGGTAAGGTGATAATTAATGACCCGAACTTTGCATTTATTCAAAGGAATCTGGTGCACAGCACTGAACAAAAGCTAGCTGGGTCGCATTGATCTATATCTGCCTACCTGTAGTCCGTGTCTTAAATTATCCAAGGACATGTAGTACCTGTCACAAAGTATCTGCCGACCTGTTGTAACTAGCTTAACGTATCTGCCTACCTGTAGTACATGGTTTAAGGTATCTGCCGACCTGTAGTACATGGTTTAAGGTATCTGCCTACCTGTAGTACCATTACAAAGTATCTAAGGACCTGTAGCATGTCAGAATGAATCTGCAAAACCGTTAAGACGTGTGTTAAATGTATTTGCCCACCTGTAGTACATATCTGGAATGGTATTCGTAAAAACACGTACAATGTATTTGCCTTCCTGTAGGACGTGTCTTTATTGTATCACCTGACCTACAGTTCCCGTCTTGACAGTATCTGCGCACCAGTAATAAATAGAGGATATTATATGAGTGACCATGTCATACTATGTTTACGACACGAGTGCCTAAATGTTGGTATTTCCCAAAAGAGAGCGAGGGATATACCGATATTTATGCACGAGTGTCGTAAACATAGTATGATATTGGCACGAATATAATATTCTGTTTATTACCGAAGACGTCAAATTGAGGAAAATAAACCCGAATCTACTTTCAAACACAGGCTGGCTACCCGCCGTCGCCGCATGTAGGACGCAACGTAATAGAGGAAACATGACATCATGGCATTGTTCATGACGTCATGTCACTAGGACAAAGTGATATTTTGCCCTTGGGCATGGTATGAAAAATATGAACCCCGATATTGTCACCCTCGTAGGTAATAAATATTTATCTGCCGACCTGTCCGCTCGCTGCCTGTATGACTGCTTATATAGAGGGTTTCAGTTTGAACAACTTTTAATAAATCCACTTGCTCTTCTTATGTTATTAAAATATTTTTCAAAGCAAAACATAATATGGTGATACATATTTAGTTCCATATAGACAAATGTTGTACAATGTATCACACGAAGCTCATGACACTCGCACACTGAGGTTACGCTCTGTTTATCGAGCTTGCAGTTTAATGTAGGTAAGTGAATCCAAAATACAAACCATCAAAATGTCAAAATATTGACAAGTTAAGACGCGCTTAGAGCGTTGGAGGTTGATAACAATCCATGAAGAGTTTCCTCCCCTAACTGATCCAGGTTGGCTCAGCAGAGGTAGTGTGCACTTGCCCCTGTGTCGTTGTTTCAAAATTATTTCCAGATCAGTTGAGGTCACGAGCGTCAGAAAAGCACTGTCCTGTATGTTTAAAGATACATGTATCTGAAGCGTAGTAGGGCCACGGTGAAAAACATTTTTGGGGTCACTTTCTCCTACGTAGGACTTAATATCTAATACGTAGGACTTAGTATCTCCTACGTAGGACTTACTATCTCCTACGTAGGACTTATTATCTCCTACGTAGGACTTAGCATCTCCTACGTAGGACTTACTATCTCCTACGTAGGGCATACTTTCTCCTACGTAGTACTTAATATTTCCTTTTTAAGGATGGTTATTAAGTTGAGAAATGTTTGGCTATGCAGGACGTTAGATAGTCGAAATGTGAGTCAGTGAATATTCATGACACTAACGCAGTGTTACTATACACTGTTATTGTGTGTGTATTACGTTAGGGTGACGTGGACCCTGCTCTAATTGCAGTTATGGAGGTTTGGGTATGGTTATGTTTAATCTAGCATACATACATCTATTCACACAGAGAGAGAGAGGGAGGGAGGGAGGGAGAGAGAGAGAGAGAGAGGGAGGGAGGGAGGAGGGAGGGAGGAGGAGGGAGGGAGGGAGGGAGGGAGGGAGGAGGAGGGAGGGAGAGAGGAGGGAGAGAGGAGAGAGAGAGGAGAGGAGAGGAGAGGAGGGAGAGAGAGAGAGGAGGGAGAGAGGGGAGAGGGAGGGAGGAGGGAGGGAGGAGGGAGGGAGAGGGAGAGAGGGAGAGGGAGAGAGAGAGAGAGAGAGAGAGAGAGAGAGAGAGAGAGAGAGAGAGAGTGGGTGAGGTGGGTGGGATGGTTGGGGTGAGGTTGTGATATGAAACTCGGGTTATAACACGACCTCCGCAAGTTGTTGCTTGTCTTGATGGGGCTAGGTTGGATCGGATGCAACGCTCGTTTGCGGTTTTATTCGTCATTGTTTACAGGTTGACTTGAGTGGGGTGGACAAGTGTTGAGTGCGGCGTAAAACAATACGAAATTCAAAAAGGCAAAGAATTGTCATTATAGTTATTTGTATAAATATAAGGGGATACGTACACATATATTGCCACCGATAGTCTAAGACACGTGTGTACACGCAGATTATGATTCATGTGCAACGACCTCTGAAATATCCAATGCATAATAGTAAAGTGTAACAAAGTGCAACATATAACAGTGAACTAACTGCAACGCGTAATAGTAGAGCAAACTGAACGCAAGGCAGAAAAGTATAACAGTCGGTCCAACACAGTACTAACGTGC